CTTGTAGAGTGTATACGCACACACACAACCTGTCGCCCTGCACTAAGGCGCTTCGTGCTCAAGCGGACGAGGGAGGACGATGGTGGTCCACCACGTAACCGCACTAGAATCGATTTACCGTCCATCTCTCCCCCCCCCCCCGAAATGGCTTTTACGGACACCCCCGCACTTGTGTGCGGAACTTGTAACTTGTTGAAGGCTCCCACCCTGACTTCCCCCCGACCATCTTCACCCCTCCTCCCCCCAACCCCTCCCGACCGCTTGGTCCCGTCCATCCTCACACACACCCACACACCCATCGCGACACACCCACACACACCCTCGTCCCAAGGGCCGTGGTGGAGCACCCCGCCGAGTTCGCTGCAGGCCAGCAAGACGCCGCCGCTGCCGCAGCCGGCCACGCGCCTTCCAGCCCCTTTGCGAACCTCTACCTGCGCAGCGCTGTAGCGGCCGCAGCCGCTAATGATAATATTAATGCCGCCGCAGCCGCCGCTGGCAGCACCGCTGCCGCGGCGGCGGAGCCGGCGGTGTCGTACGTACGGCCTCAGCAGCGTCAGGAGCAGGTTCAACGGCAGCCGCCGGCGGACGTTCTCCGGTGGATTCTGGAGCACATGGCTCGGCGCAAGGTGGCCGGGGGGTGGTTGTGATGGTGGGAGTGGTGGTGGTGGTGGTGGAATCCGAGACAGGGGCAACATCTTACATGGAACATGAGACCGTTAAAACAATATAAACACGCCTCTCGTCTTTTCCTTGCCTTTCCGTATTTGCTTGGCTTGAGATGAACAAAAGGAGGATAAGTGAGAATATTACTTTATATCAACAAACTTGGGAAGTTATAAATTCAGTAATTCAGCACAATATCAAATGGCTATTGGCTGACATGCAATTTTGCTAAGTGCGAAAGTCCTGGATATAAGAAACTCCATTCTCCCTGTCCAATACACTTCCCTCCCTCCATTTCTCTCATTTCTCTCTCTCTCTCTCTCTCTCTCTCGCATTTTTCTCTCTCGCATTTCTTCCCGCCTTCCCCCCCTATTTTTCTTTGCACGTCGTTACCGCACCCTCTGCACCGCGGCACCCCTGTTTGCTCTGCCCTGCTCCTCTGACCCGCAACGCCTGTAAAACCCTAAAACCTGAAAGACAAGATTTAAAACCCTAAAACTCTAAAACCGCAGCTCCAACTAGCTACATTGCTGACCCAATTCGACCGCGACGGCGACGGCGTGCTGGATGCGCGGGAAGCCA